TTTCACAATTTTATTATCCTATCGGAAATACAGTCTACCTCTACGTCTTTTGCTTCCTTCTACCGATTCAAATATTTTTTATTGTCATCTACTCTCACGAAATACAGTCTAAATCTACGTCTTTTGCTTCCAACTACCGCTTCAAATATTTTTTATTGTCATCTACTCTCACGACGTGACTAAAATAGCTAAGTCGTTGGACATTAATTCGCTGAATTATATCAATATCGTAATAAAACTCGTACAGTTCGAAGTTCATTCGGATGCGATATAACCGTCATCAACTCGTAGAAGACCGAAGATCTCAAAAAGACGATCTTGATATTAAACGGAAATAAAATCATGGGTCCTTTAAGTGTATGTAGATGTTATGGGTTATACATACCATATAATCGCTATATATTACTTAATATTAAAATTTATATTATTTTTAGATTTGCCTAAAGCACTGAATATATTCAAAATAAATTAAATTTCAAAATATATACAACATTTGAATAAAAATTTAAATTTAAAAAAATAAAACATACAGTCAAATGAATATAACAACAACTGCATTAAAATTAAAATACAATATAAATTATGTAGTCCTGTAATTGATCGCATTTATCAAAAATAATTACACATTTTAAACGTTGAAATAAGTACAATTGCAGTTAAAATCAATTGTAATCGATAAATCGATAAAAATAACAAAATTCAGTAAAATGCATTGCTTAAATTGATTTGTGTAATTAATTAAAAACTGCATAAGGATAGGTTGAAAAAAGAAACAACTTTAAACATTCCTGCAACTGAAATTATTTGAGAAATGCACTTTACTTTTGTGGCATTCACGCATGTATAAGGCAACACATTTTCCAGTGCAGCCAACAGATGTCGCTGTCATTTGCCGCTGATGAAGATGAACATCAACAGTTCGTTAACAACAAATTGTACATGTTGCCCGGAGTAAAATACACAGATTGTTGTTGGACATAGCCGCCGTTGCATGGTCATGGCCACTACGTACACGTACGAGTACAAATGCGCACAAATTCATTTCCCATATTGCCGCCATCAACATCAGCATCAGTTGCAACAGTCGCAGCCGCTGCCGCTGCCACAGCAACAGAACATTTTAGCATCAGAGCGTCGGCACTACTTTTTGTGCCATTCCAGTTAACCAGTTTTTAAAGATGAGAACTACGCGTACTTTGGCCCCATCAAATCTGGCCATAATCATTGCATCCACCATAATTCCAAATGTTCGCTTGTCTTAAGCGTGTCTCAAGCTACGAACGAAAGGTGCAAGAATATTAATTATTAATTCCGATCACAACTTAGAACTCTGTGTCGGCGTAGCTTGCGGCTACGGTCGAGTATGCGAATTATTCGCTAAATGAGAGTTCGCTAAATACGATTTAATCGCAATGATTTTTACTCATAAGTATTTTTATTATTTTTTAATACGAAATTATGATCAAACGGTGCATAAATGGTAACAAATTTTTTAATTGTTATAATTTTAATAATAAAATAATGATTATAATTAAAATTTAATTCTTTGAATGATTTTACCATTTGCGCTGAAATTTGGATTGCTAGAAAAGCCATAAAAAAGATTTAATGTAAAAAAAACTGGTCCTGCATTTGTCGTTCTGAGCAAACACAGCACTACACTGTGTAGTATACTTGCAGAAGATGAACTCATAGTTCTTCTTCGTTAGTTACTAAAATTATTCTATTCGAATTGTATCTGATTTTACGCTCTTTTCTAATGAAAAAATCTTAGGATATACACCAACAAAGCCAATAATTACACTAGTTTACAGCCAAAAATTTCCAAAGACGAGACTCATATTTTCTATAGGGAAATTTTCCGTAGAACTCGAAAATCATAACGATTTTTTTTTCCTATGTACCGTTTTCGTTATTTTGACTTTTCTCAAAACATCACCCTGCATATTCCCCCATAGCTTTTTTTCTGAAGTTATCTCGGTAGTATATTATATATCAAATTAAAGGTGAAACTTATACCAATATTTTGAGTTACATAACGTTAATGTAACTTACTTAGTTTAGCTGCTATAGCTAGAAATGTGCAGATGAAAAATGTTTTTTTTACGCTTTTTTCAACTTTTTCGATTTTCAAGGTTATGGGACTCCCACAAATATATTAAAAAAAAATTTTTTTTTTAATTAATGTTACAGACTGTTTTAGTACAAATATTTTGAGTGGCTTAACATAAAAATCGAATAAAAATTTCAGAAGTTATTTGCCATTTTCCAAAGTTGCCCAAAATAGTGGGTTTTATTAAGAAGTCAGAAAAATCATTTTTTCGAATTTATTTTGTAAAATTTAGAGTGCAAATCAAAACTGTATTATGCAAAATTGCACAAATTTTATTTAAAAAATTAAAATTAATATTATTTAATATTAATATATTGCATTTTATATAAAAGTTTGACGTCGAACGTGGAACTGCATTATTGAAAGTTAATTTATATATTATAGTGAGGTATATATGTACTTTGAGCAAACTTCTTATAGTGTGTAGGATTTGTTTCTCTTATAATTGTCCAACAATAATCTCCTAACATGCCTGCGTCCCAATACCCTTGATATCTTTTTTCCATTGCAGAGATATTCTGATGAAACCTTTCACCTTGTTCATCACATTCTGCACCGAGATTTGAAGGAAAAAAGTCCACACGAGAGTGCACGAAATGCATTTTTAGAGAAATAGTTGCGCCAAGAACTTTGTTATTTTCAATTAAAGATGAAATAATTTCTCTATAAAGTGAATCTCTTTCGTTATCCAAGAAGCCGATAACCATTTGCTTAAACGAAGTCCATGCTTTCAACTCTTCTTTATTTAACACATTATTAAATTTTTCATCCCTCATCAGTTTTTTGATTTGTGGTCCAACAAAGATTCCTTCTTTAATTTTGGCAAAAGAAATGCCGGGAAAAAAATGTGTAAAATATTCGGACACAGGGGTTTCGTTTTTTTACAGAGCCTTAACAAAATTTTTCATTAGGCCAAGTTTTATATGCAAAGGTGGCAAAACTTTCTGACACGGTTCAATAAGAGCTTTATTTGCGATATTTTGAATTCCTATTATGAGATCTTCGTTTTTTGGCCAAGATGAACGTAGGAAATGATCCTTTGTTGCTCTGTACTTTAGTCAAAAAATCAACCTTTAGATTGGCGCATAGCTTCCAATTGAATTCGTTATATTGAATTAACTTTAAAACTTTCGCAACTTCATCATAGGTTTCCTTTACCCCAACGGCATGCGCTAATGGTATAGTGAGAAGTTCATTGCCGTTGTGAACAACAGCAGATCTTAAACTAAATTTTGAACTATCTGTAAAAGACACCATTCGCTAGGATTACACCTTATTTGCAATTTCTTGAAAAGACCTTTAATATCACTGCAATAAACAGTTTGATGGAATTTTTTGAGAAAAAATGAATAAGCATTGCTTCTGTTGCGATATTCAGTTACTCTTGTGGATTCACTTAAG